ACATGCGAGAGTAAAACAAACGGTGGTGGTTTTTGTGTGACATCCAAAGTGTCGCAACATAAACAGTCCTTCACAGGTGATGATGACAAATTCATCAGACCTCTGCTTCTATTATTCCAAATGAAAAGACTTGTACTGGTGCCAGCACCGTTCACACCTCCCCCAATTTAGAGTAGAGTGATCATTTTCGTACCTGACCGTTCACCCCCCTCTGTTGTTGAGGTTGATAACTAACACCAATTGATATACTCTATATGGCCAGAGTTGATTAACAGCAGTGCGGCCGATGTGAGTCATGAACTTGGCCCGAGTTGCATAAACGGAGTGCATCACTCGAACCATAGCGCAAGGGCAAATTTGATCTTCATCGTGGTCCTTGTGATGGCCTCTGGTGATTGGGTCATTCGACTTTATCAACAGCCATAGCCTGCAGTGCCTTAGTTTAGTTATAGTTTGCTCAAACAACAAGCATTACTCTGATGGTGCACCAGACGTGTGTGCTCTATACTGAAATTCCGAAACTACCCTCGCGCTTTTATGTGAAATATCTTGTAGACAATATATATAATAAGTAGTATGTGAATGACTGGACAAAATTTCCCTGGAAGCACACGACCGGTTTCGCGGTCCTTGCCGCTCGTCAAACATGCGTATCCGCTAATCTTTTGTCAGCTCATTCATATACTTGTACCCAGGAAGTATAGCATTGATTCTTCAATGGAGTGGCTCTGAAAGAGCTGTCTATCCAAACGTCCCCCGGTGAAGTAAACAAGATCATTGTTTCGAATATATATATATATATATATGTAATTGCGTTTAAGTTCCGACTGCGTCAAACAAATCACGACCCAAATACCGGCAAAGCACATGGAGTCCGCCCCCTCCAGTGAGCAACACGATGTGCCGTGAAACCCTGGATTTCTTCGGAGTATCTGCGCCTTCATGTCAATCAATCTCGACCCACAGCGAGCATGACGTAACTCGATTTGTAACGAGACGTAACCTCGACTTAAGCCTCCGCAGAGACCGCGAAATCTGGTGGACCCAACGCGCATCAAAGATGGAACGTGCTGCAGCCATGAGAAATTCCCGTAAGCTGTTCCGTTGAGTTGATACCATGTTTGTAGGCATGCCGGTGATATACATAACCAATAATTCGGTCCACAAACAGCTAGTGGCCAGAATACTGCTGTTACCCAAGCCAAAGCAAGAAAATTTTCTTTTCTATTTCACAACCGGAGCCTTTGTCTGACCCAACAGACAGCGGGGTGGTGTGATAACCGCTAACTATTGGAGGCCAGCGTCCAGATCATCGGATCATACGCCCATTGCAAGAGGGCAGACGTTCAAGAGGCCAATTTCAGTTTGTATGATCATTAACCACGCATATTCGTGCGCCGGTTTTGGTTGCGGTTTTTTGGCTGCCCATTTGGATGAAGAATAGAAGAAGAAAAGAACGTTGAAAGTAGGGTCGAACAGAAAATGGGGAAGTTCAGTGGTCTAAGGTTGCAAAGAAATTGAGATGATGTCCGAACGCCACAGTTTGCGAAACTCAGTAAGGTTGCAAAGAAATTGAGGAGATGGACGAACGCCACTGTTTACGACACCCAGCCATATTGCTCAGTGTCTCTAACCATCGGTTACGATCATCCCGAGGTCCCCAGCCAGGCAGCCTAACAGGACCTCTGTGACCCAGTTTCCTGGTTAGGGTTTTCATACCCCCGTGCCTATACACCTCGGTGACCAGAGGAACCGGTGATCACTGCCACAACCAAGAAGGTGCAAGTGTTCGTGGTTCCTATGCCTCTTCTTGTTTTGTTTGGAATCAGGGGTATTAGCCACCCCCTCCGAAGATGAAATGCCAGTGGTTCACCGACCCGGTTACAACCCTAAGTGATGAGTTTTGGTTCTCTCACCTTGAAGGAAGAAAACCTCCGCCGCGGGAAGGCAGTGAATAGGGCTTCGTCAGCAGAGACTATTTGAGATGTTTGATCGTATAGGAGCAGTTTGGGAGGTGGAAGGGAAGGATGGTTATTTAAAAACCAACACACCTATCCCCAACCACACTGAGGCTTTGATGTAAAATGTACCACTGAGGATTCTTGACGCGAATACAATCGCTAATCTAAGTAATAAGTTACCACTATCGACTGCCTTACGGCTTTAATTTCTTAAAATATCATCCCTCAAATTAACGATCTGTAGTGAAAAAAATATTGATGTCACATATCTCAACGTGACGGTAAAACAAACCTCTTCGATTGGGGATGTATCAGTTATTCATTCGTCCGGATGCATCGATCGATATCAACATATACAACCGTATAGTAATATGGACATGTGGTGTGATGTGACTCGTATTAATCTAAATAGCAAAATGTATTGCACAGAGAATTGAGCCGAACTGGAAAACAGGGGTGTGAGATATGGAGCGACAAAAATCACGTGATCGTTACTGTCCCTTTATATTTGTTCCTAAATCCCTGTTTCGATGCACGAACTACTCCTCAAGGGTAGAGTAGACACTCCTATGTGTGTGCACCGATAAAGGAGAGGGGATGATGGGGCCTGGAGTGAGTAGAGGAGGAACATAAGCAACGGAAACGTTCTATACAGTTATTCGGAGTGAAGTGAACTACAGTGCACAAGCGGGGACGAATCGAATCCGAAATTTATGCAGATTGGTTCGGTTTAATAAAAAAAAACAACAACAAGGGGACTAGGAAACGTCGATTAGGAGGAAGGCAAATAAAACGGACTGGGCTGTGTGTGTGTGTGCGATGACACGGTCATGCACAGAGAACCGTACGAATAAGTAAAAACACACGACAACTGGTAGAATGGGAAAATCGATCTACACACAATCAGCCGTTCGGATGGTTGTTGTGCATATTTGGAAGACCGTATACGGATCGATCGATCGATCGATTAAGGACTCGCGTGACATTGTGAGATTGCGAACACAAATGCTAAAAAAACAGAATTCTGATAGCAGAGAATGCGATAAGTAATCGGACGGTTGATGGATGTTTGTGAGAAACGGTTAAGCGGCTGTAAGCGATTGTCACAGAAGCACACACATACACACACACACAAACAAATGGATTTTTATCGCAGTCCGTTTGTCTGTCTGGCCCCTCCCCACCCCCACCCCCGGGTTCTGGTGATACGGTCAACCCTACGAAACATTAAAACCAAGCTCGATGATGGAATAGAGAGAGTGAGAGAGAGAGAGGTAGACACGAAACGCCCGGCGAGATGAAGAACCAAGACACATTGAGAAGGGGCCAACGAAGAACCCGTTGAAAGAAAAACAGAGGGAGGAAACAGATATTCACGGCTCACCCAGTTCGCGCAGAATACGCATTATAGCCTCGCCCAATTTCAACTGGAACTCGACACGGGAATCGGTCNACTGATCGAGTAGCGTGTGCAGCACTCGATCGGTCAGCATCAAACCCATGGCAGACAGGGCGCGAATCGCGTTCAGATAGATGTAACTGTCCGTGTCCGCCAGTTGACGCACCAAAATCTGACATGTGAACAATAGCAAAAGATAGTCAGGGGACAGGCTAAGACTAGACTATGGGAATGCAAACATCCGGAGAAAATGTGAGCTGCAATTGGCTTCAATAAATCAAAGTAATGTCGACAGTGGTGTTCGATACAAAAGATAATAACACCAACAGAAACAGTGCGTTCTCAACAATGATCAGTTCGCCTTAAGAGTGTGTGCAGGTTAGATGCACTGAGTTCTGAGTTTTTCAGGAATCTAACTAAATAAAAAAGAATCTTTCTCAACCCAATCCAGTTTCCAGGTGTCGTAAACGTTTGTGGAGGACGGAGCAAAAAAGAGAACAACCGTGAGGCTGTCTATAGTGGTTATTTAGCGAAACCATGGTAAAACGGTTAACACGATAGAGCTTTCAATGCCCCGTGGTTACAAACCCGAGCCTTATACGTTTTTCATTCGGTAACCGCTAACTGCTTGAGGGACAACACTGGATATATCACATTTTTGTTGTTCGTGTCGGACGTCAACAAACAGTGATTGATTTAATGAGCGGGAAATTTTCACGTATACGTTATATACATGTTATATAAACAACTTACGTGCGAGGGCTTAGTCTCGTTACGACAAGGGATATTCAACACTTCTGTTGTGTAATTAACCACATTTTTTTCCTTCTTACATCTTTAGTTTAATTCATAATCATGCTGATCACGTGTCCGCTGGAGTTAGGCTGATCCGGGTCCCAGTGAATTGGAATAAATTGGGCACAGTTATATCAGCTAATTACATGTGAGCAGTGATATGATATCATTCCGTGGTTTTGTACTCTGTGTAATTGTTTCTGTGTTCAACACCGTGCTGTTGCACTTCGTGAACACCGACCGGCCGGACAGAATATCGGTGAAACTAAATCTTTACGCACAATCCTCAGTTCATTCAGTCAACAATACAGTCAGGGGGAGCGATTCACCCCGCTTAGAGCTCATCAGTAGCGTATATCCACCTTCCCGCCTAGGATTTGAATTCCGAACCCATCGTGAAAAACGCATGTATGTCATCACTGTACCAAGCAGCTCAAATTGGAGATGACCAGAAGGATACAACAACAACGAAGACATGAGATGGTTGACACACTTTCCATGCGATTGATACGGGGTTCGAATCAGGGTCGGGACGAATGAGTCTTCACGAGAGTCAAACATGAATCGAGTGCTTCCTAAGTGGATGAGGAGGAGGATTGTGCGTGAAGACGAGATCGGAAAGATGGCCAGTCCGTGTGAATATAATGTATCCCACACTACTACTCAGGTAACTGAGAGTTAAATCCAAATCGAAACAAAATATATTACAAATGGCTTGGTTTCACATTGTGTGGAAACCGGTCTGGCTGTGAGTGAGGCATTTCGTTCTCTTCCACTTCGTCTGTTAGCAGAGCTTGGGAATTTTTTGCAAACGTTTCATCACCAGCCGAGGTGACAACATCAGTGCCCTGTTTGGAAACGCCTATCGCAGCAAGCGCCCTGATCACACACGGAGTGACGGGAATTCATCTACACATAATCGGCCATCTGGCTATCCCCAGTTCATGATACAGTCCTTGTCTCTCTATGACCAAAATAGCCTCGACAGATCCCGGATAGCAAGTTTGACCATATCCGAAAATTGGACAATATGGATCGGAAATCGGTGAGATCATGAGCTCACTTGTGACATGAATGAGCACAAGCGTGATTAGAAAAGAAAACAAAAACAAACAGAATATCACTGGCAGAAGTGATTCAAAAACACTTACGAAATAAGAGTACATGCAGTCTTTCCTCTTAAAGTGATAATCAAATGGAATCTGGCTGGGATTGATGAAAGAAACCTGTCTGTTGGCCTTTCAGGTGGACAAACACACGCACACACATAAAGATAGACGTACAGACAACCTGATTTTTTTAACGCATACATAACAAATACATACAGACAAAGGGAAGCTGGAATAAAAAGTGATTAAAAGTTATCGTCTCGGGGATTCGGTAATTGGCACGATATGAAACAATAAACGACCCAAGTGAAATAACGGGCAGGGGAGAGGGGAACTCGAACTAAGACAGACAAACAGACNAACAGACAGACAAACGGTCCACGTGAACATAGAACGCGGCTCGAAAAAAAACGAATGTACGAGTACGGGTCGAGAAACGCGTTAGGATGCTTAAATTTGGGGTCTTTTTACAAACTGTCCTCAGCTGGTTAGATTTGATTTACTGGAGAAACCTTGTGTTCTTTTCCAAGGGTAGATGACTTTTCATTGCAGACGAGACTGCACAGGAAGGGGGGGGGGGATGGAACCGGTGAGGCGTGGATCATAACAATTCCTTTCCAAATCGTTTACAGAGTGAAACTGACACACGGAAAAGGTGTTTATGTTTATGCTACAGTCTGACTAACCCTAAACAGGCATACGTAAAGCGCGGGTAGGGGGAGGGAGAAATCGAAAAATAGGCATAAGAGATACGAACTATGCAGTGTGTATTGATGTGTACATGCGATCGGCAAACGAATCGGGGCAAGTTTCCTGGTCTTCGAAACGTGTCCCTAATTTACCAGTTTTTCACAAACACCTGCGCTCATGACTAGAAAAATCACCAAGCCGTCATTTTGAAGAATCTTGGGATTATTCCTTTAGAAAGATCACTTAATTTTTTTCAAATATTTTTCAAATGAACTAAGAAACCACGAGTTTTCGTTACTTTCCCTAGGATGCCAACGTTTGTATTTCTTCCAAGGTCGATTACTCCCATCTCGGCCTCAGCTAAAAGGGGTCATCGGGACCAATTTTGTAGCTTACCGTTCTCATTGTTATTCCCGTTGCTAGCTGAAATCGATGAATAAATACGGTATGATCAGCGCAGGTCGCGATAACAGCGGTGCCACTATGAGTCATGACTTTAGTGACCTCACACGGTGCTACAACGTGATTCACGCAGTGCATTCATTGCTCGAGTTACACCCGGTAAGACGTACCTTCGACACACTGATTGCATTTTCTGTGATGACTTTTTTGATTCGAGCTGTTCTATTCCGCCAATGCCCTAGTAGAAACGGTAGAGCCTTCACTGTGATGTGCCCAAACAACAAACATTGTTCGGAGGTGAAAATCGATGTGTGTATGTGCACCCGTTACGGAGAATGCG